CAGCCGCTTTGAGCTATATGGGGGGCTCATCATTATCCGGTAAATAGTGAAAAAATATATTTTTGGCATATTTTTGGTACATCATGTTACACTTTAAGGCCTTACGAAGTACATTGAATTGAATTGGACTTTTTTCGGAACTGTTTTCCTCACTTTGAGCCACTTTGAGCCACATGGGTATTGCTTATTATAATTTATATATTAAAACTTTGTTATATAACTGCACACTTAAAAAAATTGCATACTAAATTCTTTTCAATAATTATTTTTCCATTTTGAGCCACTTTGAGCCGTATAAATGTGAATAATTTTAAATTAATTTTAAAGAAAATTGTAAAAAAAAAATAATTTAGATATAATAGTTAATGGATATTAAAAAAAATTTAAGCACATTTTATTCTCTAAGAAATTTTTTACTATTTAATTAAAACAAACTGAACGTAACTGAGCAGTTCTTTTGGTATGCTCTAACAAATCTAAAAGTTATTATTGAATTTTTCGCACTCGTTATTTTGTTCATTTTGATAAAATATGGCAAAAAAGATTTCTTACCTAAAATATTGGCCAAACGATTTATGTCAAAATTGTTTTATTTAATTTGTTTAGCTTTCTCAATATGATAAAAAAATTCTAATGGTCGTAGAAATTTCTGTTAAATCTCTCTTCTTGTTTTTCTTTTTTAAATAATTTGCTTATTGCTTTTTTTAAGATATATTTATATTTTAATCGATACGCGTATTTTCAACTTTGTGTTAATTAATAAAGTGTAATATGTGAAAATCAAAATATCTACATACATACATATACATATAGCTATATGTATTATATAAACATAGAACGATATTTGCATTTGCATTCATAATCAAAACGAGTACATTTGCGCTGTTCTTTCTAAGAAGAAATCATCACACTTGAGCAATTTGTGCAATTTTGTATGCACAACAACAACAAGAGAAGGAAAAACTTTTGGCTCATGGCCAAAGAAATGAATATTTCAAAACTATAATTGCTTTAGTGTAAGTATGTATGTACATATATACATATATATATGTTTACCAGTGTACATATACGTATATACATATATATTTACATTTTGGCATCAATATGTGTCGGCCTCCATATGAAAAAACGGAGGCGAACCAACACACATATGTACATATGTATGTGTACTCGTATATAAACAAGATATTTTTGTAGAGCTTTTTGCCGTTGGTTAGCAGTCATGACTGCCTTACATTTTTGTAGAACAGTATTTAGTATTTTTAGTAGAAATTAAAAAAAAAATTTGTTAAAGTTGTTGCTGGTTTCATATATTATTTTGCACTATTTATAGAGATACATATGTAAATATTTTTATATATAAATATATATATTTATATACCTACATACATATCAATTGACATCCGACGTACATGTGGGTAAATATTATAAATTTCTCGCGACAAATATATTATTATTGGATATTATAAATTTTGAAAAGTCTATAACGGAGTGAATTTAATAGGCTTTTTTAATTTCTTTTTTATAAAAATAAAGATAAAATAGTTTAAAGTACATAAAATAAATTTAATTAAATTAAAGTAATTTAATTTTATTGCACTTTTACCTTTATTATGTTGTTTTCTTTTATTTTCTTTCAATTCATTTCATTTCTTTTAGTATTTCATTTTATTTTGTTTTATGTCTTTTCATTTTATTATATAGTATTTTGTCTCCTTTATTTTATGTTATTTTCTTTTATTTCATTTTTTATATTTTATTTATTTTTTTTCAATTTATTTCATTTCACGTTGTTTTTATTTATTTTATTTTACTTTATTCAAGTTTTTGTTTTATTTTTTATTGTGTTTTTTATATAATTTTATTTTATTTTATATTATTTTATTTTATTTTTTTTAAATTTATTTTATTTTATTTTATTTTAATTTATTTAGTTTATTTTATTTTATTTTAGTTTATTATTTTCTTTATTTTATTTTATTTTATTTTATTTTATTTTATTTTATTTTATTTTATTTTATTTTATTTTATTTTATTTTATTTTATTTTATTTTATTTTATTTCATTTCATTTTATTTTATTTTATTTTATTTTATTTTATTTTATTTTATTTTATTTTATTTTATTTTAATTTTATTTTATTTTATTTTTTATTTTTTTTTTGATTTTATATGCGGTAGCCCAGTCTGAGCTAATTACCGTGGGATAAGCTTCCTGAAAATCAACCGTAGGCTAAATATTCACCATGTGAAGTCTTGGAAAATGCCCATGAAAAGTTTTTATAGCAGCCTTCAGCAGTACGAAGAGTTGCTGCCCCAGCGCAGGCATGTCTGTATTCGGTATCTCCGCAAATGGTAGCGAGTATGGGTATGCAGTTACAGACGTAAATGTTCTGTCGTTAAAGTAACAGTATGTAAGTAAATAATATGTATAACATTATAGTTTTTTTTTGTTTATTATTTTATTTTATAGTTTTTTCATATTTTTATTTTATTTTACTTTTATTTTTTATTTAAATAATTTTTTTTTTGCACTTTAATTTAATTTGTTTTATTTTGCTAAAATGGTTTATTAGTTTATTTTTTTAATCTATTTTTTAAACTTTTTTTTATTTTTTTTATATTTTTTTTATTTTTTTTTACACTATTTTAAAGTGCAATTGAACAATTTTCGGGCCCCAATAGATTTAAATTAAATTGCTTTTTAATAAAAACAATCACTCGAAAATTTTATTTAAAATAGCATGCGCTCTTGGCTGAAATTTAGAAAACATATACACGGGAACATTTACATGTTTAATTGAGATAAAACCAATAGATATTTGGATATTTGAATGTGACTCTAAACTACATACATACACACATATGTAACATTTAATAAGATAAAAAAATAAAAACTAATCTAGATACAAAAATATTCCTCAAGGAATAAGCTATCACAATAAAAGTTTTTATTTACACAAATACACTAATAATTTTTAAAGCTAAGACAATGTCATGTTTTTCACGCCGTTTTTCTATTGAACAGATTTCAGAAGTGTCGAGTAGAATATTACTTCTAAGCGGTTTTATTGTGATCAAGCGGTATCGATTAGATGGCTGGTAAATATGTTTACTTGACTGTTACTTGACAAGGACTCGTGACTATGCTGTTAACGTGCGGATTGGCGTTGACATTGACTTTTCACTCGATTTTGACGTTATTGCGGCCTCATTAGGCAGCACCATCCCGATTGGAACGACGCCATGACACCAAAACGAAATTCATCACATACACAATAACGGCAACGAACGCTACTATCGGGCTAAATGCGGAATGTGCAGTTAGTGTCGATGCTCCACTCGGCTTTGTTGTTGCGCCACCAGCAGCACCTGGTGCGGCAGCAGCTCCTGCGTCTTCTCCATCTCGTCCTTGTTCCATATCACACAAAAGTAAAAAATCCTTCTTCGCCCTTAATTATCCTTTTGTGATGGAAATTTTTCTCTTTATTTTATTTGTGCGTATTTTGATGATTGCTCACTATTTTCTAGTCTTTCCCAGAATATGTAAATTTTTATCGATATTCTATGAATTATACAATTAAATAATTGGGAAAACTTGAAAATGTTCCTGACTGTGAAAAAACTCCGAACAAATGTAAAAACTTCTCATCAAAAATATCAACGGTTATTTTGTTGAAAAATAATTTTTTATTACAGGTTTTTTTTTTTGCTTTGCATTTTTTTTTTTTTTTTTTTACAAGCAAGTATAAAAATATAAAATTCGTGCAAAGTGTTTTCTGTATAGAATGAATGATCAATTCGAACAGGTTTTTTTTGGAGAGTCACGAGCTGGAGAGTTGATCATAACGAGATCTGAAAAGGGTTCACTTATTTCATTTTATTTATTTGTTTCTTTTTTAGCATTAATACTCGGCAAGAAATACGAAATCTAAGAGTAAATTTCAGCGTATTAAGAAAATATCAATAGAGATTAAAAAGAGAGAGATTAAGAGATTTCAGACAAAATGTGCTAATCACAATGCAAGCTTGAAAGCTTTAAGGCTTTAAAGCTTCAACTCGACTTATTGATGTCGAAATTGAACAACATAATTAGTTATGTGCAATTAAGAAATAAAAAATCTTTATACGAAAAAGGCTTGAATTCATAGAAATGTGGAAAAGCTTTTTTTACCTTTTTTAGCTTTTTTGCAATTACAAGGAAACTTTTGAGGCACACGAGAATCTTAAAAGTTCTAAAAAAAGGGAAAATCATGTTTTTTTCGCAATCATTTCGTATAAAAACTTTTCATGTATTGTCGTGGCGAAAGCACTAAAGCTCAATTTGTATGTCTATATGTACATACATATGTATTTGAATCTTTCTACTAAAATTGTTTAAAGTAATAGCGAAAATTGTAGTATAATTTTTTCAAACACAATACAACTTGTTACCCAATTCGGAGAAGCTTTAATTTATAGATGAAAGCTCTAAAGCGCAAGCTTTTTAAATGACTTACACACACATACATACTTATAATGCGAAACAATTCTGCATATACAATAGCAGTTTATAAAGTTTTTAAGCTAAAATATTAATTTGAGTCAAAGTTATGGAGTTGCACAAATTGCTTAAGAGTAGGTTATATTTATTAAACGAATTATTACGAATTTCTTAAAGGAAAATACGAATAAGCAAATAGCAATAAGCAAGGCAGGGATTTTTAAAGCTTTAATGAGGCTTAATTAACTTAAAAGCTTTAAGAGATATTAACATATTTTTTTTTTGAGTAAACTCTTTCCTCTCGCTTTCTCCGCCACTGTGATGTTTACGTTGTTTCCTAAAGGAGCGAGGGTGAGAGCGCTAGGAAAGAGATTTTGTGCTATAAGCGTTGTTTGCATTTTAACTTTTTTTTTCTCTAAGTAATTATGTATGTACATATGCCTTAAAACTAGGAATGCACTATTTTGTTTTTATTTTTATTTTCTTGCCTAGAACACCATATAAGATAGTTTACTAACCTTAATGCTGTCATAGCAAGCGGTCACCTTTCCATTCTGCACCTCAACATTGGCGGGGGGATGTGCGAATTTACATTCGGTATCTTGGCGGGAGCATTTATTCCTCTGAAATTCACGACATACCTCCAATTGGAGCCAACGCGAATCTTTGCCATTCAATAAGCTATTCACATGGACGACAGCTGCCATTTTTATAGTTGGTTTATGTTGTTGTGTTGCTATGTTTGCTTTTTGATGAGTATTTATTAAACAATATTTTAATTCAATTAATTAAAATTTATTATTATTATAATTTTTTTATTTTTATTTGACGAGTGTTACTTGGAACGGGTGATTATTGGATTTTATATAATTTAAATTTTCCTTATTTCTTAGGTAGAGGAGAAATATGTAATATGTATGTATGGAGTTAAATGAGTCCAAATGTATGTTTATTTGTTATCTTGCTATCACAAAGAGGAAATTCTATGCCTCAGCCGCTATGCACTTTGTACGTTTGCGCTTCACTCTTAGTTGGCTTTCAAAAAGAGCTTTGTAGCTGTTGATTCAATTTACTTGCTCCTGCTTTGTGGTAGTCAAAGTAGGCTGTGCAATAATATTTAGCGCTTCGTTATACTCGTTTCGCTTGTTTACGCTACCTATTGTATATTTGTTTGCTTGTTAAAGCCTGCTTTAAATCGTTATTGCGCTGCGTAAGCTTTTTCCGTTGAGCTTTCACTTATGGTCAAATGCTTTTAATTGATTTTCTCTTGAGTTTTCGTGGTCTTATTTTGGAAATATTTATTTCTTCCTTGTAGATTTTTATCGACACTTGTCAAATAAAAATTTGTTTTTGGAAATTTTGTTCAAAAAAAAACAAAAGTTTTCGAATTTTCAATTTTTGAATTTTATGCAAATTTCATATGACATTGGCGTCGTAGGTGACTCTTTCTTCAGGTTTTTTTTTAAATTGTTCCGTTCACGTCGCGTATCGCGGTAAACTCGTCGTTATGGCAACACGTTGACTAGGAGCTTCGTAAGGTTGCTGCTGTTGTTGCAGTGTGTTTACGTGGAGTTTTGAGCTTTTTGTGTTTTTTTTTTGTTGTTTTTGCGTGTTTACAGTTCACAGCGACAGAGTAATTGCGCTCAAGCAACAAAATAATGCACAAGGAGCTTTTGGGCAAAACTTTTGATCGTCAACAATTGCTACTAACAGTTATATATGTATGTTTACGCAGGCATATACGCTATAGGCAGCGGCGCGCACAACAATTGTACCAAACTTTACATAAGGATGTGTGTATGTATTAGCAGACATATATGGCTGGAGGCTGGGGGAGCTTTTATGATATCATTTAACCGCACTTTTGCTCTAAACACACACGTACATACATATGTATATATGTAGAGGTTTATGTATAAATAAAAATATATAAGCCAGGGATTTGTATGCTCTATGTATCTATATGTATACGGTTTAGAGGGTATGAAGCAGGCGTCAAATTAACAATTGGGTAGCTTAAAAAGCGCACTTTTTAATATTTTATTAATTTTTATTTTATTATTTTTTAATTACATATGTAGCTACAATATACCATTAACTGATTTACAGTTTCATTTGCGCACGCTATAGGCTTTATTTACTTTCACTTTGCATAAAGCCTTGTAAGGGTGAGCTTTCGCTTAAAATTCACAAGCTTTCACAACTTTCGAAAATCAAAAGGCTGCTGGCACTAACTTATTGGTTATTTTGCGGGTAATTTTTGGGGTATAGTTAATATTATTTATTTATTTTTTTTGTTTTTTTTTTTTGCGGGTATGGAGAGCTTTTGTTTTTTCAAAGATTATTTATTTTGTATGAGTGGCATACGTTTTGTATTTGGCTTTGTTTTTGTTTAATATTTAATATGCAAATGTTGGTGTGAGTTAAAAAGCAAGTTTGAGCATACACACGCTGTTTTTACAATATCTGAAATGAAATAAAAAAATAGAAATATAAAATTACACACGTGATCGTTAGCCATACGAAAATAGCAATTACATATAGATATGTACCTAAATATACATACATGTGTGAGTAATTATATAAAACGAAATATATTGAATAGGCATACTAGAAGGTAAGCATATACTAAAATTCATAAAAAAATATATTCCGAAAATTTCGGAGTACATATGAAATGGTATTTCCTTAATTTGCGCGCGAAAAAAGCAGTTCAAAAGTAAAAAAACACCTTTACAGTTGCGTATTTTCACTAAATGCCTATTACTATGGTGTTTTTAGAGCATTTCTAACATTTTCGGCAGGTTTTAAAGTTTTTTTCGGAAAATTTCGATAAACCCATGACAATATTGAAAATTTTTCAAGATTTCGAAAAAGTTATTGAAATCAATTTTTCGGAGTAATAATTTCAGTTTAATATTTTTTTCCCCCAAATATATATTTTCCAACAAAAATTTCACCAAAGTTAAAAACACGATCGGCATGACCATAAAATAATATTATAATGATTTGAATATCTCAAAACCAATACCGAAAGTGCTTTCCATGACAAATATGTAAATTTTCGCATTTTCCAACTTTTTACACTAAATCAACAATATCGATTTTGTTTTGTCTTAGCACTAAAAAACGAGTTATGAAATTTTACGAAAAAGCCACGAAAATTTTTTCGAAATATAGAAAAAATGTGCATCTATAACTATTTTTTGAAACTAAAAAATTAGCACTAATTTTCACGTCGATTTGAGTTTATTTCCAATTTTTAAAAGCTTTGGTTAAAAGTGATGTGCTTTTTTTTGGGTCCGAAAATAAATTTTCATGCCCATTCGGTGTCTGTAACTTAGGATATTCTCTCGGAGTATCAACGAGCACGTTAAAAAGTACGCAACTGATTTTTGATTTCGCCTTGTTTTAATACTAAAAAAAATTGTTTGATTCGATGAAAACATAAAATTTTACAACACTCCGAAATTGTTGCGAAATCAAATTCGGAGTATGATAAGGGGTAGGCAACTTTTTTACGAAAGAAATTTCGTTGTTTTATGCAAATTTAGACAACACAACTCTCCGAAAATTTTCGGAGTAAAATTCGGAGTATTGAAAAAGATGCGCAATTTCTTATTTTAATTAATTTCTTACAAAAATATACGCGGTTCTTCGAGAGAGCATTTACGAATTTTTTTCGGAGTAAATTCGGAGCATGGGAGAGCATGTTTTTATTTTTATTTTAATTTCTTATTCTTTTATTTTATTAACTTTCTTAGTTTTTCGGTTAGTTGCCTTGTTTATAGATATTTTTATTAATTTAATTAAATGTATATGTATAAATAAGTAATTAAGCTATACCTACAATACATACGAATAAAATTTCTGTGCATAATATTGCCATAAATAAAGCATTTTTTTCTATCATCACAGCATAAGCACCAACACATACATAGAAAGCACACAAATATGTATACGAGCACTAGAAATAGCATTTTGCAAATAAATGAAAATATTCACTATGAGAAACATTTTTATACAATATATATTTATTCAGCTATTGCCACAAGCGCAATACATTTTTGTTTGCCCTTTTCCTTAAAATGCACTTTTTTTTTTTCAAACCATTCCATTCGCCACAACTTCTACTTTGATAGCCAGCCATAATACATACAAACATATGAAGCGGTACTAGGAGCGCATTTCTCTGCTCAAAACAAAAATGTTTCTTTCAGAGAGTAAGTATAGCGAGAGAGAGAAATATTGAGAGGGGAGAGAAGGAGGGAGTGGAGAAATCATACATTTACGCATTTTTAATTAATTCAAAGTAAATTTATTTATTTTCTTTTTTTGCTTTCTGAGAAAACTTAACTTTTTTTGTTGGCTTTTTTTTACTTGCTTCTTGGAAAAGGTAGCGAGGAGTTTAGGCATTTCTGATGGGATTGGATCGTAAGAGTATTGAAATAAAAGTGACTTACCACAGAGAATTGCTTGCAAATGATATTGCTGAGCTGAGTTTAGTGCGAAAAATTGGTTTTGGCACCAAACTTTTCACACAAACACACTCGCATACAAAAATGGATTTTGTATGGAAATCAGACTGAAAATCGGGAAAGATATACAAATATATAGTATAAAGTATACAACAGAAAAGAGCATTAACTGAAATGAAATTTTTAATATTCTCTTTCATTTAATTTATAATATTTTGACAGTTTCTTTTAATGTTTTTTATATTTTATTTAATTTTTCGATTTTTTTATTATTTGTTAATTTATAGAATTATTTATACTTTTAATATGTAAATGTTCATGGTGTTCTTAGTCACACAATAGTTGATTCAGTAAAACTTTTGCTATTTCCTGCTTATCGGCAATTTCATACCCAAATACGTTAACATCCATAAATATACATATACATACATACAATAAAAAGAGAATACGCAATCGAACACTTTTCGATTTGGAAAGAAAAGTACTTTTTGTTTGCAATATATTTCTTATCTAGCAAATGTGCATACATTTAAAAAAAATCGCTTCGCGCACCAATGAATTATGAAGCGGGTAATTATAAAGTCTATACCAAATATTTGTGTGAGCTTACCGTTATCTTATCTGTTATATCATAACAACACTCAATAAAGGCATACCTACACCTATGTATTTAAGTATGAATAATAAGAAAAACATATCTATGGGACTTTGATAGGTTACAAAGAATAAATTATAGTAAAATTTTATGAAAACAAAGAATTTTTCAATGAAACAATTTCCTGCAAATTTTTAAAAAATTAAAATTTTCGACTATTCACAAAACAATATACAATATACGCTCTTCGGAGTTTTTGGCAAACACTTAAAAAAACTATTTTATAGAAAGTTTGACGTAACATGCGTAGTAATTACAATTTTAGGATACATTCTCGAAAGTTTCCCCATTAAATTTATAAATTCTGGAAAAAGATATTGAAAAAATAAGTAAATTTTTTACTCAATGCAAGTATCAAATATGATAAAAACAAAACAAATATAATTTGATGTATACTTTTCTCAAATAATGCTTTCAAAAATCATTCCGAAACTTTTCCGAAGATTTTCGGAGTAAATTTTTATTGAAAGCATGCTACAAATATGATCGAAAATATAATTTATTGTTTATTTTTCTTAATTTTGATTTCCGAAAATTTTCGGAGTACTTTTTTTTATTCAATACAATTTCAGAATATTATCGAAAAGATAATTCCTTACATATTTTTCTGAATTTTGCTTTCCAAAATTTTCGGAGTAATTTTTTTCATTCAATACAAGTACCAAATATGATAAAACATATTATTCTTTAATAAGCTTGCTGGAAATTTTCCGATAACTTTTGGATCAATTTACTGAGTAAAGTTATTATATCTCATAAAATTTATAATTTATTGTATATTTTTTTCAAATATGCTAACCGCAATATTTCCGTAGCAATTTCTTTATTTACTAGTAATTTAATTACAAAAAACGAAAACTAGGTCTTAAAGTTTGTTATATTTGAATATACTTTTTTTCTTTAGTATAATTAATTTCAAAATTTTAGATGCCTTTTTTTATTTCGATTTAAAATTATTTACACAAGAAATAAATATAATATTGTTTTATTTTTATTTTTTTCTAATATCTCCGATTATATCCCTTTTTTATCTGCAAACATAAAATATTAATAAGATTTTATTTTAACTATAAACACTGTGCCTGAAATTTTTTGGACTCATTGTAATATTTGTTGTTGTATTCGTCACTTTTGTCATTAATTCGATTTAGCTGACAACTTTCTTTAATAATAGATGTTTAGCTAAACAAAAACTAACTACATGCATACATACGTATGCATCTACAACGCAACAAATATTGGTACACAAGTAGATACAATAATTTGCGTAACTGTGTAGGTGTTCATGGCAGTGACTATTTGTTTAGAAAAGAAACATTTGCACACTCCACCGTAAAACTAAAAAACTTAAAAAATAAAAACTTGTCAACGAGTGCAAGACCTACAAATAAAGTGAAGACGATAAGTCCAAGTGTAGGCGACTAACAATATTTTTAAGTAAGAAGAAGAAAAAGAAGAAGCTACCCACATGGACAATGTGTATATTGCTGATGAATGTTGGTATAAACGACTATTGAAACCTATGACGACATCAACATTATATCAAAAGAAAAAAATAAGAAAAAATAATATTTAATAGATTGAATTAAATTAAAATTAAAAAAAATTAAAATAGACAATATAAAATATTATATAAAAGTAAAATAAAATGGAATAAAATAAAATGAACAAAAAAAAAAATAATTAAAATAAAATGAAGTGAACTAAAATTAAATAATATAAAACGAAATAAATTCAAATAAAATAAAATTAAATTAAATTAAACAAAATAAAATAAAATAAATTAAAATAAAATAAAATAAANAAACGAAATAAAATAGAATAAAATAAAATAAAATAAAATGAATTTACTTTTGTTTCAATCATTTTCAAACTTAAAAGAAAAATTTAAAAAAAAATGAAGGAAATTGAACCATATGAAAAATATTAAAAAAAAAATTCAAGTTCAAAGCTCTAAGCATGAACTTGAACATCTGAAGGCCGATGCTTGCCACATTGTGTAGGCGCATATCTTTGTCACGAGAAGAGCATAAAAGCTAAGCAGACTTTTTTTTTAAAACAGCCAATTAATATGTTTCAAATGCGTTGTCGATGGGTTAGAGTTACCAAATATGGTTCAGATAAATTTGTGTACGTTATGTATATTGTGTTTTTTTTAATGCCAAAATTTGGCTTTTGCTAGCTGCGTAAGTAGTCGATGATTAAGACACTATTCAAAAGAAATTAACTAACTTTATGGCATAACTAATGGGGAAGAAGTGGTTTTTCATATTCGTTATATTTTTTTATTTATTTATTTATTTTTAATTACATTTTTGTTTGCAGCCCACACG